CCAAGATGAGCCAGAGTACTGTCAGGTATGAGCGTCAGTGAGGTTTTCCAAAAGCTGAGGATGCTGATGTAGATTTAGGCTGGGTGTGTTAAGTAAGGATCCGTACTTACCTTTGAGAAAAAATGAAAAAGGAAAAAAAAAAAAAAATTCCACACAACCTTGTTTACATAATATAAATATCAAAAGAGTGACAGTTGTCAATGGTCTAGGCTTGTTCTTAGAGATAGTCTTGTCAGGGAATCTGTTTTAAGGTTTGTTTGACCAAATGGCATAGGGGAATGTGACTTGTAACATCAAACAGTGTTTAGTGGGTTTTTTTGTTTTTGTTTTGGAAGCGTTTCTTTCAGTTCCCTTCGTCTCCCCTCCCTCCTCTCTCTCCATGTTCAGCTGCTAAAGTACTTCCCCGTCGCTGGGGAAAGCGGGTGCTTCCACTCTATGCAGTCGTGTTCCTCGCGGGTATATTTGCACTACAGCAGGCCTTGACAAGCTGCAAAAACCCCCTTGCAGGCTCACGTGTGGTGTTCTTGGCACTTGTACCAGGAACCAGCCAGGGGAATGGGAGTATGTGAAAGGCAAAGTACTAAACCAAATATTACATGTAAATCTGACTTAATTGAGGCTTGTAATAAGGAGCACGGATGGAGTGAAAACAGCTTTAAAGAGCATGGAGCCAATCAAAGCACGAGCAGAGCAGGAGACAAGCCAGATTTTTGAGTATGTTCTTTTCTTGCACTACCATCAACCAGGGAGCAGGATACTGCTTCAGTGGGATTTTGCTGGTGTAGAACAGGAGTTCAACATCAGGAGCACAAGTAGGTGATGCCTTTTGTGGGTGAACGGTGGCATTTATTGTCTTGCCACTGGAGCCAGCTCAGCACGTGCCCCGTCATGGGAAATGTAGATGCAGATATTTGTTGCTTGCAGAAGTACAATGTTACGACAGTTCCCTGTCCTGTGTGCAGATGCTTCTGCCAGTACTGTGGCATAAAACCTCAGAAGTGAGCAGTCACGTAAAGTTGAGTTCAGTATTCACAAAACGCCACAGTTGTTGGACATAGGCAAGAATTTTCGCACAAGAATTTTAGGCAAGAATCACTTAGCACGTGGAAAAGGAGATTGTGCTTGAGAATTGCGTATATGGCTATTTTTATCCTAGCACATAGTGTACAAGTCATTAGTAGATCTCAAAGTTCACGTTTTCTGTTCAGGCACCAAAGTCCTTCCGAAATAACGTCCAAATTCTTTCTAGAACGACCCAAGCACTTTATAAAGATGATCTGAACCACATTATCCTCCTTTTGCAAATGGGTACACTAAGACGTAGGGAGAAGTGACTTCCCCAGAGTGACCCGGCAGGTCAGTATAGTTGTGAATAAATCCTCGAGTTCCTGTACAGTCTCTCGTCGATATGCCATACTGCCTCCCTGTAGGGAGGACAAATCACATGGAAAAGTGCTTGATACTCATCACAAGCAGTGACTGTCTTCACGATGGTGAAATCTTGGAAGAGTCTGAAAGTTTAAAGCCCTGAAATCCCATTTCGAAGCTGCCTGGCATGGTTATCAAACACTTTTTCTCAAGAATCTTACTGTTCTTAAGCAGCTTCTCCCCTCTCCCCCCCCTTCTTTTCTTCTAAAGATCAGCTATTTTTCTAAAGGCTTTTAACTTGTTCTTTTCACATTCTGTGTCACAGCCACCTTCGTTCTAATCAAAAACTAAACAAAATGACCTCTGGCTCTTCACTGAGCCACACTGGTCACTGAGTAGCACAAGACCTCTTCTCTGCTGCACCCTGAACTAAATTCCAAGATGTTTTCTCTGGCAACAGATCTGTCAGCTTTAGTGTAGAGGAATATTTTTCAGATGGATTCCAGTTTAGTATTCTGTATCTTAGGGCTAATCTGACTTCTTCCATATTTTTTTTTTCCCCCCCTATTAAAACATGTCCTTTAGCTTCTCAGAAAAATACCTGATTTAGCTTTATTCAACTGAAATTTGCATTGCTCAAACTGGCATTTTTAAAAGATAAGTATATTATATAATCCACATATATACAAAGAACCAAAAGAAGGCATTTTAACTGAGTTAACATTAAAGATCATGGCTGTCCCTAAATTTAACGCTTTCCTGAAACATACTGAGTGCTTTTAGCCGGTCTTAGCTTCAGTGCATTTTTGCTGGTTAGTTTTAGTATTTTCTCATTGTGGGAAGATGCATTATTTTGTAATGTCCAATTCAGCGATGCAGCTATTTAGACATGGCGTTATTTATAAATATAAATATATGCAGTACATTGGTTTGGCTGTTTATCATTCATGACACTGACATGTAGATTTTACCGTAAATAGCTTTTGGTTATCTTATCAAATGCTGACTTCCTTATGCTCCAAAGAGGATTCCCCCACACCTTTGTTTTTATGTCATATTTGTTTCTTCTGTATCACAACCTAAAATCATTAAGCTAACTTAATGCTTTGTACTCAGAAATATTGTGATAGTCTTAGCATTAATTAGCCTCTCTTTGTGAACAAAATGTATTGTACCAGATTTTTTTGCTTCAGAGCTGGACTATCAGTGACTATACTTACTGGCAGTGTACTTCTGGTCATTGTAACTGACTGGGCTGATCTTGACTTTTAGATTCTGTATTGTGGGGAACAGACAGCGATGAATGTATTTCTAGCAGTTTCCCATGAATGAATCTAAACTTGAGCTGTACTGGTTCTGAAAATGAAAGTTATTTATTTTAAGAAATAAAATCCGGATAGTGTTGCTTTTTACAGCATAATAAATGGAAATACCAAGATGATGATGATGGAGGTGGTTTTTATTGGTTATCTATGTAACTGCTGTTGAAATAAGCCTCAGGCTGTCCAGGAAAACCTACTCTGGTCACTTCGGGTGTGCAAAGCTGACAAGAAATCAGAATGAGTTTATCTGATCCAGCTTTGCTTTTTTTTCAAACCCTGTACTTTTAGAGCTCTGCCCTTTCACTGGTTGCTTTTTATTAATGCTGGGATTCTTAAGTGTATCTGACTTGGCCAGACAGGTCTCCATTTCTTTCATTATTCTTCTGGCTGTGTACTTCAATATTAAAAGCCTGACAAATGTGAGGCAAAGGATCGTGTCACTTAATAGCCCCAGAGAAAACGGGTGCAGCAGTGGGCCAGCTTGAGAGCTCACAAAGTTTAGCTATAGATCAGTTATCCTACTGATCAACTCAAATTAGAAATTCAAGTTGAGTTTATTCAAGTTTGGTCAGGGAAGGAAAAAATAAAAATCAGGGATGTGATCTAAGCAATAATTAAAAAAAAAAAAATAATCTGACAGCCACCTTCTATGTACTCTGTAATGCAGACTGACCTGCAACAATGCAGTGAATTAAAAGCATCTATACTGCCTTAGGCTGTAGAGCTGTAATGGTTTAGTTGCACAAACAAGTTTAAAATGAGATCTACAGTAAACTATTGGCAGACACATCATCTTTATAATAGAAGAAGCAAAACCACAAGAGAAAGGACAAAAGCATCAACTACCAGTTCCATTTATTTAAAATGGCAAAAGAATATTTCATCAGGGGAAAAAAACACTGCTTTTAGAACTATTGGCCATGTAAAGACAAAGCTATGAATAAGGCCATTGCTTTAAATCTTACAAGAAAATTTCACCCTGGTGAAGTATAAAAATAACGAAAAGAAACTGTTGCATACAGAACATGAGTACAAGGTGTAGCTCAAGAAACATATTTGATTTTTGTATCACAATAAAGATACATATTCAGCTACTTATACATAAAAGCATAAAGTCACCAGTTGTGATATTCTGTAGCACTGTTAACCTCAGTAACTCAGGGTACCAAAAATAAAGTCAGTTTAGCAATGCTGTCCATTTAAATACGTACATTGTGTGTTCTAGGTCCTTTAAATTTTCTTTCTCTCTGGCTTTTGCAGGGGGCACCGCACACTAACTTGAACCCATCATTTATTTTCTATGTAGCAGCTGATCGATTGAGCATTTCTGAATGGCAGAGAAGTTGCTCTGCAATGCCTGTGAGGGGATTGCCCTGTAGGGTCTTCTAGCTATTCAAATCAACAGTTAAATAAATGCCCTGATTCATAGTGCATGAGAAAATTAAGTTCCTTTCCACGTATTATAATCTAAATGGGGCATATATTATTGTAAAAGATACGAGTGCCCAGATCCTCACCTTGTTAGATTAAGCACTGTGAGTAAAAACATACTCCAACCCTTTTGCACAGTTAGGTTCTTGGTTTGTCTGGGACTGCTGCTAGACAGCCTGACTGCAGTCTGTAGAGGCTTTAGTCTTGATTGTACATGTTGATTTGCAAGCTCAGCATGTGCCAATGCAGCTTTAAGACAGTGTCCTAAGAAATGCTCTTCATGAGAAAGGTTGTGGTAAATATCCTACAAAAGAAGACCTTGCCTTAAGAAACAAGCAGAAATGAAATGCAGCGAACGTTTTTGGCTTATGTTCTCTCAGTATGCCATGCCATTAGAAAAGATAAAATGAGGACAAACTTCAGCAGCACGTGGATTCCGTGTGGCATACACCTGCAGTGTTTCTCTTCTCCTCTCTGTGATGCAGATGAAAATTCAAAGCTGTGAAAGTTCTTCAGAAGTAGTTAAGCAGAAGGTGCAAGCTTTCTGAGCAGAACCTCTGCACAAGAACAAGCTTTCCTTTGAAGCCTTCTATTTACAGCCAACTGTTTTAAATTTAATTAATTCCCTTAAACAAAAAATGCACGTTTCTCCCATCACTCTTGCTGAGGACCTCTCATTCCTATCCTCCTCTCTTCCTCCACTCTGGCACGCTATCTCGCTAACTGCAAATTCTTAAACAAAGAATTTCTAAACAAAAAAAAGTGCACATGAGGAGGCTGCTCAGACTGCTGTTTATATTCCCATTAGTTAAGAGTTGCTACTGGATCTTCACGTTGAGAAACCAAAGAATTGAAGTGGAGCATGTCACCAAGTCATTGACTGCAAAGCGGGATGCATAAGCTAATCAGCTGTGTTAATGATGCCGTAAAAAGCTCAACCTTTAAGTTGAATATGCTGAACACATCTGCAACAAGAAAAGTACATGTCAATTAAATAAGCCAGGTAAAGCCCTAATACTCTAGTCTTTGCTAACCACAGAGCACAATCAGGTCCTTCTCAAACAGCACCAGATTCACATCTTAGGATCAAATTACCATGAGGAAAACAAAAAGCCATGCTTTAATTTGGACTTTTTTCCTGAAGTATGCCCCAACAGGACAACTGCTCAGTTAACAGGCAGTACCTCACAGGCATCAGCAGAGCAACACTTCCAAGCTGCATATCTGCTCTAGCTTCCCTCCCCACCCAGACCCTGCAGGAAGGACTACAGCGTTGCTCCTTCCTCCCTTCCTGTCTTCCCTCCCCCTGCAAAATACACACTGGAAACTTTGCTCTCCTGTTCTTCACCCCTATTCCCCACAAACAAGTGGGAAGAACAAGTGATAGCAATCCAAGTCTAACTCTGGATTCCCAGCTTTTCCTACGTGTTTGAAGAGTGGTGTTTTGAAGTGTTAGCTTCTCTCACGTGTCTGATGTATGTTTAAAGGGGAGAAAACGGAAAAGGATGTTCTGGCTCAACCCTCTCATAGAAGGCTGGTTTGTGATACGTACCACAGTATCAATCTCTGCTGGGCCTACCATCCGAGACACCTCGTCGAACTCTTCAGGAGACATGGGGAGCAGGTTTTCTGGAGACTGGAGCCTGGAAGGGTGGCTAATAGAAGGAGGAGAACAGGGACAAACCTTCACTAAAGAAGTGAGGCACACCTGGGCTACCATGTCTGGCTCTGAGGCCAGAAGGGTCACTAGTGAGGTCTCTTGAGAAGAAGACCTAGCCTGTGAGAAACACACCATGCTTTGCAAAACCAGCATGGCTTTAAAGGAAAATGGGGCCTAGTCAGTGATCCACATTCTAATCGAAGTCCACAAGTCTTTATGAACTTGCTTTTCAAGGAAATATTTGCCAGAACAACAACCTGCAAGTTTCTAGGACTTTTACCTAAAAAGGTTGTTTCAAACACAGCATTTTATCACAGAATCACAGAATTTTCAGAGTTGGAAGGGACCTCTAGGGATCATCTAGTCCAACTCCCCTGCTAAAGCAGGATTGCCCAGAGCACATTACTCAGGACTGCATCCAGGCGGGTCTTGAAAATCTCCAGAGAAGGAGACTCCACAACCTCCCTGGGCAGCCTGTGCCAGTGCTCTGTCACTCGAACTGTAAAGAAGTTTTTTCGTGTGTTGGAACGGAACTTCCTATGTTCCAACTTGTGCCCATTGCCCCTCGTCCTGTCACTGGGAACCACCGAGAAGAGTGTGGCTCCATCCTCCTCCAACCCACCCTTTAGATATTTGTAAGTAATAATAAGGTCTCTCCTCAGCCTTCTCCAGGTCAAAGAGTCCCAGCTCTCTCAGCCCTTCCTCATAAGGGAGATGCTCCAGTCCCTCAATCATCTTGGTTGCCCTTCGCTGGACTCTCTCCAGCAGTTCCCTGTCCCTCTTGAACTGTGGAGCCCAAAACTGGACACAGTATTCCAGTTGTGGCCTCACTAGTGCCGAGTAGAGGGGGAGAATGACCTCCCTTGACATACTGGACGCACTCTTCCCTATGCAGCCCAGGATTCCATTGGCCTTTTTGGCGGCAAGGGCACATTGCTGGCTCACTGACAATTTACTATCTACCAGGACCCCCAAATCCTCCTCAGAGCTACTTCCCAGCAGGTCCACCCCTAACCTATACTGGTGCCTAGCATTCTTCCTCCCCAGGTGCAGGACCCTGCACTTGCTTATGTTGAACCTCATTATGAATGTGTTGTGATCACATCCTCAAGGAGAAAGAGGGTAAAGATCTGACAGGGACACCTACACCTTAAATATTGTGAAGACACATGAACTACAGCTAAAAAATTATCACTTCCTAGAAATCCAGCATTTCTGTGGAAACTTACACTTCAGATACAGAGATTAACTCAGTCTTGATGTAGCCGTTTCCCTTGGGGCCATCCAAATCCATAGGCTCTGGTGCTTCAAGGAGAGAAAAAAAAACAAGGCTTGTTTTTTTAGCAAGTTTACCTCACATTGCCATTTTTATTGTGTCAAAAATAAAGCCTGTGACCCAGAAAATACACTAGACTCTCTCACACACATTTTACAGCACTATGGTTAATTCATTCCATTTTTAAGTCAGATTTTTTTTTTGCTTTTCCCCTACCAAAAATGAAGAACAAAACCTCCCCTTAATTTTGATGTAGCTGTACCAACACATGCTGCCAGGCCCACACAACCAGGATCAGCCCTGTGTAATAGGAGTCATGGTTCCAGCTGTTAGTGGGAACCTACACCTCTGAAACATCTCACAGGCAGACATAAAAGCTGAATTAGAGGGCCAGCAACAATTATGTTTCCAGTTTTTAATCTGACTACATCTCATGTTGTGCCTCTTTAAAAACAGACATTTTCTTAACCTACTAAAACTTCGGTGCCTGTTCTGAGCTTTCAGCTGAGCAGCACTCAAGCACGGGTTAAGGCTGCAAAGACACAGTCCAACTGCTACACTGTCTTTCCATGCCACAGAAATTATACCATGCTCAAGTATCTCAAGAACAAACATCACGCTTACACTGTATGAGCCATTTATAGCACACTCACCCTCCGTAGGCCTGGAGTAGTATTTGCCAAAGGCATTGTCTTTGGGTATGTTTGGGTACAGAAATCTCAGTGGATTTTCAGGAATGTTTTCAGCTGCCATCACTTTGTAGTTGCGAATGATATCAGGGAAAGTAACAGCAGAGAGCTCCTTCTTGGTGTACGGTTCTACCGAATGGAACTGGGGCTCTGCAAATGAGAGAAGCAGTGACTCTTAAAGGTGGTTTCAAAGCTTTTTCTAAAACTGCCCAGAAAAGGTGCAGCTGCTTCTGCAAATTCAGAGGTCACACAAGCAAAAGGCGTACCTGAATGACACCTACTGTGCTGCAGGTAAATATTTAATGATTGTCAAAGGAAGCACAATTGCTTTGTGGGGCATGAAGGCATATAGGGGGATAGCATACAGTGATGGTTCTTGGTGTGTTCCGTATTCAGAGTGACTGGAGTGACCTCTCCGTAGAAATTAAGTGCAGTATTTCATTAACTAATTTAAGTTGTGCTACCTTTTCAACCTTCTTCCAAATGATGTCATTCAAACTATATTGCCTATTAGGAAGTTTGAGCCTAATACACCACTTGGGTCTCTTATGAATCATAAGGAGAGACAGATAAAGCCTCCCTAAAATGCTCAAAATACTATCACCCTTTGCTCTGTTTTTTGGATGCCCTAGGTATGAAGGCAGTAAAGGCAAACAAGTAATTCAAGTACATTCAGCAGTTTCTCTTCCAGCTGTTGTAGGTCTTGGGCTCATCCAAGTGAAGTGTAAACAGCTGCAGCATCCTGGCAGGTGAGGTTGGTTTAAGTAGTATGAGAAGGGAAGAACCCTGATTGGATACAGGGGAGGTTATATATCTTTGCAGCTTTTAAGTTTCTTTTCTTTCTAGGTTTGCTTGAAAGATGGTGAGAGAGTAGCCCAGCTAACTGAATAACCAAGCTGGCCTTCTTCTGGAAATGGGAATAAGGAGAACTGCTAGAAAAATTAGGTAAGTGACTATGTGGTTTATCTGGGAAGAATGTGGGAAGGAAGGAACAAATGTGTTGGACCATGAGTTAAAGAAAGCTGTTTGGGAAAGGAGTGTTACACACAAGGTGAAGTAGTGGGAAGAACAATAGTAGAGATGGCTGAATGTGGCTATAGTGAACTTCTCCTGGGAGAAAAGTCCCAGTCCCCTCTGATGGGGAAGGTGACACGGGTTTGGAGGGACATGCAGGTGTTTATGTACTAAAGGTGTCTTGCTAAGAGAGAACCTAAGGAGGCAGGAGAGACAGCCTAGGCAGTTTGTCCTCAACAACCTTCCAGGCCAGAAGTGGGAAGTGTTCCTACTGGGAACACTTCCCACACCTGGGAAGTGTTACTAGTCCTAGCTGAAACCTTGAACAATCCACCATGTGGCTTATGAGCTATACCAAGTAAGGTGTGTGTCTGTTATTGCTTGTGGCCTATTACTTGTAAGGGTGCGAACTGCTAGGGTGGTGTATTGTATTGGTTCTCAATGTGAAAGAGAAAAGTGTAAAGACTTCTTATTCTAATATAAGCTTATATTTTGAAGACAAAGATGTTCTCTGTTACAGACTTACCGTTTTGAGATCCTTCTACCCAAGTAAATGTGATTGCTCCCTCTCTGCTGCTTTCACTGAATCTTAGTAAAAATGTTCCTGGACTCTGGTCCTTCAACAAAGCACGTTCTCTCTCTTTACTGATGAAACCCATGATGCAGCTGTAATGTTGAAAAGAAAAAGTTGAGTTTGCTCCTAAACATAAAATCTAAGCTGCGCTGGGCTAGCTAGGAAAACTAAAAACCTTTTGTCACTTAAAAGAGCTGAAGAACTTGTAAAACTCTCGCAGAAGGCTTTGTCCTGTGAACAGCTGGCAAGTTGGCAGTAGCACCGACAGGCTGGAGCTGCCCTGTGAAAGCCACGAATCCCCACAGCTTCCCTCAGCACTCTTACTTTTGCCTGGTGCCTTATACAAACTTTTTTTGGCGCTCAGAATAAAAAAGATTGTCTTTTGCTGTCGAAGCGGGGCTGCAAAAGCAGAAGTGAAGTTATATGTGTGCAATATGGTCAGATCCAAGCTAGTGGTTGTAATTTCAAAAGTGTATTAAGGAAGAGTTGTTTCTTCTCTTTGGCTGACAAAACAAAGTTTGCCAGCTACCAGATTGCATCCATACAGGTGTGGGGTTTGTTTTTTGCCTTGTGCGCGCTTTCTAGATGAGCTGTTAAAGCTTGTATGATTTCAACTCCCCAAATTCAATATGCTCAGCAAATGTCATTGTGTAGGCAAGGTGGCCAATGTGGTGATTATAATGGATTGGTCTGAACAGATACTGGGGAGGGCATAACCCTGGTCAAACCCCAACTGCTTTTTTTAAAAGGTCAGAATTTCTTTGCGTTGCTTCTTATTCCTCCCAAATACTTCATCAATGAAGTTTTGAATATTACTAGTGCCGTCCTTCTACGCATTAAGTTGCGGAAAGTGCTTTTTGCACAAAACCTACTAAATAATCATGGTTTTGCTTAGAACTTCAGGTGCTGGAAGCTGTTCTGTTTTGTGGCTTTGTGTTTTGTTTTGTTTTGTTTTTTTAAATGGTATGCTTTAGGTAAAAAATGTGTTTGGTAGTAAATGTACTGTGTATAATGAAAGTCTTTTGCCTTCCCATCCCTCAAGTATGAAGAAAGGCGAGTGTTCTTGAGGCTGTAATACTTATTCTTTTGTATACAAGGGGAGTCTTTATCATAATGAACACTATAGATTTGTCTCTTTCACACTCAAGTATCTTTGCAGTTGTCGGGAGTTCTCCCTTCAATTTTCCTTTTTTCCTTTCTAGAAAACAAAGATCTGTGACTATCCAACAAAGGCAGATGAAGCTGAGAGAGGACAAACTAATAGTACTAAATCTCTGGTTTTGATTACATTCAGGATTTAACTTGCATCTCGTCTTTCTGTTAAACCCTAAACAGGGGATTGCTCTCATAACTGAGAGCAATGAGTAATGCCACTCAAGGCTGTATGCTATCAAAGCCACGTGCAAAACCAATCCTGTAGGCACACAGCCATACGGAGGTGGAACACTACATAGGACAGAACTGCAACTCTACTTCAGTAATGGTGGCAAAAGTTCTGGCTGCATTGGAGTCCACTCAGCTAAGAAATACGTAGGTTTAGGCAGTGAAACAAGGCTTGTACTGTAAAGGGCTTTGACAGAACTCATCTGGAGCTAGGGCGTAATAATTTGAAGCCTGCTGCTGAATGCAGCAACACAGAGCAATCCTGCTGTTGTAGATCCTGCAAACTTGTGGGATACCAGGATGCTCTGCTGTGGTGTGGTATTGACAGGGTTTCATAACGGGGCTAAACCTAAAATGCAGGATTGTGACCTTGGCTAAACCTGTTTCTGGCAGCAATTACTTCTGAAATTGGCAATAGGAGAATTTTACTAAACCAGTATTAAAGGTTTCCCATATGGCAGAGTCTTGCTACTTATCAACACTCTATTAAAATCAGTAAATGCTACTTTCTGGACTCGTATTGCAGATACTGAAGTTCAGAGTCTGGCTGCTGCCACCTACAGGATGCTCATAATGTTCGCTTGTGGGTAAACTGCCTTTTTTTTTTTTTTGATGGACGATTACTTTGACTTACACTTTGTACTTCAGTCTTCCCTGCCAAACACAAAAGAGGCTCTGTTCCAGGGTGTGGAAGGAACCTACAGGGTGTGGAAAGAACCTACTTGCACTGGGAGCAGAGGCAAAAAAAAAAAAAAATCTAACATTTAAGCCCAGCTCTGACAAATGGGAGACCTTGGTCATCTGACTTTTTTTGCTTTAAGCAGCTGCCTTGTTAGAGGCTTCCTCACTACTAGAATTCATTTGCCTTGGATTCTTCTGGTTGCAAGTTTCACTTTATTGGATCCAAAGTATCTGCACAAACAACATCACAACCTGAGGACGCAACTATTAGCCTAAATGAGTGGTCTGAGGCAATGAATGTGTTTTTGTTAACTTCACTGAGGTCTTACCCATCATTCCAGAGACACAGGAGGTGTTTCTTAATAAGCTCCAGGATTCCCTCAATCCACAGCCAAAAGGGGAAATTTTTATCATTTATATTTTCCTGAAATTCAAAATATGGAAAGGCAGCAGTGGGAGGGGGGAGAACGGGGATAATGAAACATGAGTTTTGTTAAGCAGAGAGGGAGCAAGCTCTCAATCCTGCCAGCATCTACTCGTTCTTGCATTTTTCTCCCTTTATTCTTTTCTACCCTCCCTGTATTCTCTTACGATTTTTTTCCCTTTCTGTTTCTCTACTCCAGAAGAATAGAAACTATCAGGAACAAAGTGTGTACTGAATCTTAAGGCAAGAGGCAGTGTGAGAGAAACACCTGCCTGAGCCTACAGTACCCACAAACACGTGATCCTTCATGTCATGCAATGACACTGGTCTAAGAACAGAGAAAAGGCTCTAGTTCCTGCCTGGGCACTGTCCTTATTGGAGCTCTTGGACATCCAAACCATCCCACGGGGCCTTCAACCAGGCTGGCTAGCAGAACAGCTAAAAGACACTTTTCGTTCAGACAGATTTCAATTCTTCATGAGACACCCATATTAATGAACTTGAGTGCTTTTAGGTCACCAGAGCTTTGTTCCTTCCCTGGAGTCTGCTCCTGCCTGTTGTCATTTTCTGCTTATCTACACCAGTATAGGGTCTAAAGCTAAAGAAAATGTGAAGAGTCCTCTTGTCTTGCTGCAGCCAAGGGTTATGAAATCTCATGTGGCTTTCTGCCATCATGTTGACCCTCTTAGCCACCCCATGCTAATCCTCACCCTAAACCAGTTGCCCCTAGTCTGGGAAATGGCCTTCACTGTGACAGAGAATTGCTCATCTTGCTGGGGTTTTTTGACATTTTCTGTAATAGTTAAAATGGAGAACTATTCTATTGATAGCAACTGCATTAATAATAATGAAGCTGTGTCTGAAAGATGCCTTTTTCTATACTGTTTACGTGGCTCAAAACAATCTCAAAATCATCTAGTCCTCACTATTACAAGCCCTTTTTCCTCCTCCTTTAACCTTGCCACCAAAACCTCCCACAACCACATAAGCTCTAGAATACAGGGTATACTACCGAAAAAGAAAGCACTGTGGGGAAAAAACAAACCCCAAATAAACCCCACAACAAACCAAGACAAAGCTCCCTCTTACATCTCAATTCTTAAACTGTGTTCATACCTTGCAGAATCTTGTCCAAGGAATAAGGCCATCTTGAGATCCTCCACTTGTTGGCCCTGAACAGAATAAACTGACTTCAGTTATGTTTCATAAGTTACTTCTTAAGTACTTTCCTTTCAGCCTTAATAGCACCGAATTCAGAGTTTTTATTTACAACTCTGAGCTATTGGGCTAAGAAAGAAAAGAAATAGAAGGCTACTGTATTTTCACGGCTAGTGCAGGGAAAGCTTGCAAAGTTCCCCTCTGGAGAAGCTCACTGCATCAGAATGACCAAATGTATTTAAACAGACCTTGTGTAATAGGAACCAATTCATTTTGACACTTTCTATGCTGTGCTACACCTAACACTTGCCAGTTTCAAAATCCTTCCAGGAAGGAGATTGAAATCTTGCACATCGTCTCCACCAAAACAACAGAACTGCAACCCGTAAGGTTGCAGTTTTCTGTAGCAGCTCAGCAGACCCTACAGTATCTTTCTGAGATTAACCACTTTCCTGCCTCAATTCTGGTGACTTGTAGGATTTTGCCCCAGAAACTCTTGACTCCTAGCTCTGCCCCAACCACAGATTCGTCTCACTCCTGTTGCAATCATTTCCCCCTGCCTTGTTTTTATGTCATGTGTTTCATAACAACATCCAAACGAAGAAAATATTATGCTGTGACTACAGTAGCTAGAGCTGTGCAGACCCTGACTGCATTCAGAGCCAAATTCTTTCCATTACAGATCATGGTATGGATTTCAATAGCCAGAAATATGCTGCTTTTTTGCCCTCTCATCTAAAAATAAATTAGGTTAGGGAGCTTGTTTCTGATGCTGCTTGTGTTAGAGACCAAGACTGTCAATTTTCACATCACAAACAGCAGGTCAGTTGTATCTTGGCACGCTATCAGATTCTGTGTCCCCTTGTACTAAGGAATCCTGAATATACAGTGTTCAACTGCCTGGATTTTTTTTTAGTAGTGAAATACTTTTAGCTGTAGAGATAAGATTTAAATAGCATCCCTACTGTTACCAGAGCTTGACAAAAATCTCTGAAGTTCTGAAATGCAAGTTGACCACAGAAATATGTCACTGGTCCCTTTGTCTTCATGATGGTTAATTAAACCAAATTACTCTCCTTGCAGAATTCTGAAAAGTAATCTATTAAATTGGTAAGGTTTTTGTCAGATCTTATGTCTTGGGGGAAATTAGAGGAAGGGAATTAGAGACTGGAATGCTGTACTTACTACCTAAATCCACTAATGTCAAATCCCTTTAAATATAAATGCGTTCTGAAACTTAAGGTTAGTGGAATATACTGAATTAACAGTCTTATTATCTAGAGTCTACTATGCAGTGTCAAGTGCTCTGCCTATCAGGCAAACTGACAAGGTGTTTGGAAACAAGTCATGGCTGATGAGGCTTTTACTAAAGAGTCTCATCTAGGAGATGTTCAGTTTGATACCCTTTAATAGTTTCATAGTGTTTGTACTTTGATATTGCAACTGTGTTTATGCAGATAGAGTAAACTCTCAGTGTAGTTGGGAGCATGCATGAAATTAATGGAGATGGATTTAAAAACAAAACAAATGCAAAGAAACAGCTACTTCAAAGATTGACTAAACACATGCATTACTTCAGTAGTTCTTCAAAAGGCAGAAGTAGTCTGCACTGCCCTAATACAGAGAACTCCTAAGTTAGAACTGCAGATTTTTTTTTTTTTGTGACCTGACCTTCACTTACAAACTCTGCCATATTGGAAACTGGAAAACACTTCATTGCTATAAAGTGATATTGTATGAAGGGAAAAGGTGTGAGAGGAAATGAAAACTTAAAATAGACTGCAGAAAACATGTAGAGTTAGCTTTGATTCAAACAGGCCATCTGTGATGGCAGCAGACCATACCAAGTAGCTTCTCTCCCAGCATGCTCAGCTGATCTGCATTGAGTCCTCTCTTTGTTACAGAAGAAAACTGCCAACTCAGAACCTCAGAAAGTTTAGACCACTTCGCACAAGGTGGATTCAGAAAGAAGGACAGGTTCTAGAATGAAAGGGAAAAATACAATCTATAGTTAATAAACATTAATTTCTGAATGCCATTTAAATTTACAAAAGTGTATTGCCAATACAAAATGCAGATTTAAGAATGGGTGTCAGCTTGAGACAAGTCTGCAAAAGCAGGCTGCTATTCTGACAGGCACTCTTTACCAGGAAAAGCAATTCTGGGACTCTGCTTTGGACATGTCTTCTCCCAGTGGGCAGAATTCCTAGATTACTGAAGTGCACTGTATTTGAATTCTTGAATGTTTATTTGGCTTCTCACTGTGTACTGTATATACTGAATATAATGTATACTACCCTTATGTGGGTTTCAAACATTGCTCTGTTTAGGATAGGGAAGTTGCTATGCTTCTCTCAAAGCCATTAAGAGTCATCTGCCTGGAAAAAATGCAGCAGCCACTTCTATACAGACAATGCTTGAAAATTACACACAGTGTTTCTGATACAATTTTTTTTTCTTTGCAAATACCTTGGGATCAGTAGACAGCATGTTGAACCATAAGATAGAAGCCCATCCACTTGGAAGCTGGCTCACATTTGAGATCACAACAATGGGAAGGGATGTGGTCTGAAAGGGACACAAAACCAAACATGTCAGACTATCTTGTACTACTGCTGCAGTCCTCTTCTAGATTACCCACAAACCCATTTCCATTGTAATTCTCTGCTTGCATGGTCTTAACTTTTTCACTTGAAGTTTGTATGTAGGGGAGAAAATGTCAGTATGATGAAGTACTAGAAAGACTTTCATTTAGTGTCAGTTATGATAGCACTGATAGAATGGTAGAGTTCATAGCATATTGCTTCTGAAATAAATGGAAACTGATACCTAGAGAGCTTAAAACACGGGGTTGGTTATCAGACACTTTGCAAAGCACATCTACTCCTATTTACCCAGAGATCTGACAGCATTGTTGGTGTATGGGTTTATACAGAGATGTTGTAAAGCGTCATTATATATTTTTGAAATAACTGAAAGGTCTTGATACTCGGTAATTAAAAAATAAATAAATAAAGTTTAGATTGTCAGCATGAGTGACATACAGGAATTTAAGTCCACCTGTTTCATCTAAGACATACCTCTAGGTCTATTACCAAGCCAGGCTGGCACAGCTGCGTCTCAAAACTCAGAGAGTGAAGTTCTTCTGTTACAATGAGAGGACCCTTTTAAAAAAAACAAACAAAAAGAACCCCTTTCAGGCACTGAAAATTACCTAGGGGGAAGGCAAGAGGATTTATCATGGGGGGAAAAAAACCTTTTTTTCCCAAGGTTACTTGCTTTAGACCTCAGAAACAGTTTGCAGGTCAAAGTCAAGTGGCAATTCTAACTTCCTGAAACTGCCTGTTAGAATGGGTACTCTCTATGCACTTTTTTTTTTTTGGCTCCTACCTAGAAGCCATTGAAAAATCTGTCCTTGCTAGAAAGTCCTGTTAAAGCTAGATTTCAGCAAGGCACAGTCCAGAGGGACGCCATTCTGGCAGAAGTTCTCACTTGTAGATACCGCCTACATGGATTACTTCCTAGAAACACTGAACTCCAATTGATCTGTCATCCTGTGTGTTTCTTGGTGGGGCTGACTGGAGCATTGTCTTAAAATGCCTGAATGCCTCTTTAGTATTATGCCCAATCTTTACACACAAGGTTTGGGCTGCTTACCTCATTTGTTCTGCTTCCTGCATTCTTCTGTTCTTTCAGTTGCTGCAAACGAACAAAAAGACCTGTCACTTGTTTACCTCAGCCACAAATGAAAGTAGTAAAGGATGGAAATGTTTGCATGCTCTAGTTGCTCAACTGTATACAAACTTGCTGCACTAGTGTCTAATTCTATTTTGTTCTAAGCTCTGGAAGCTGAAGGATTAAACTGTAGATAACTACTACTCTTTTATAAACTATTAATCTGTGAAAATAGATATTGCACCATTATGATGTAATGCCTTTAGGTAAGAGGCCTTATAAGAACAGAAGCCATATGAAATCGGGAAGGATCAGATGAAATACTGCTTTGTCAAAGTACCCCTCTGAATTGGACAATAAATTGCAGACAGTGTCTGTTCTGGACAATGAAAGGAGGAAGGGAGACTTCCATGTTCACTGGTTCGGGACTTGCATTTTTCCTTTCCTGTTGTAATGATGGAACCAAACTGATTTATTTCACAATCTGCACATCAAAAGTATTGTATAGTCTGTTGAAGGCTCTGAATTTCTTGTGGCTGCCCATTCCTAGACAACTTTCATCTTCCTGACTCAAAGCTCTTTAAACTACTCCAAGCTACAGGCCTTCCTCTGAAAGGCCCAGACCGGCATTTCTAGGCTGCTTTTTCTTCCGAAGAATTCGTTGCAACACAAGTTGTATGGCCGCAAATACTCTTGTTTGCATTTCTAGCCATATTTCAGTGACAAAAGCAGTAGCCTTTCAACTGAAACAAGCCAAAGATTTCAAAAAGGGAAGAACAAAGAAAAAGGAGAGATGATCACAGTTCCTCTTTTACAAAAGTAAACCATGACTACACTAACAAAAGCAATTTGCCTCCTTCCTACCACACCCTCTACCCACACAATTAAATGGATGTGTCAATAAAAGAAAAAAAAAAAATCCCCTACCAAGTGCCTGAATTCTGCTGCTAGACTTCCATTAGTAGATTCTTCCATGTTCATTACTTTTGTGTTTGTACCCAAAATATTAAATTTCCTGAACCTTCACAAAGACAGAGAGAAAAGAATTGAGTCTCAAATTCATTGTAAGAACCCCATATTAATATACCAAATTGTGATGACACATACCCTTTGACTGAGTTCTTCTCACTTACATCTCTGTCAAAAAAAAAAAAAAAAGACAAAATAAAAATCTCTTTAAGATTCTGCCACATACAGAGAAAATGTGTATGTTTGTTTTACTAGCTGATAGAGAACTGGTAAAATGTTTCTGTGATTTTTTTACTTTTTTTTTATGCAGAAGAGAACAGGACAAGGAGGCAATTGGTTCAAACAGTCAAAATAAATATTGTGCTACACAGGCTGTCTTTTACTGAGGCTTAAATTTTGCTATGGGGGCTTTATAATGAAAGAAAGTCCTTTCTTTTACTACATAGGTTTTAATGCTTGCTCTGAGAAAAAGCTTATATAGTACCGTCATTCTAAATCTGCTTTCAAATCATAAAACTTGATGAATAAATTGCTGCATCGCTTGAATCTGTTTTCCCACCACGTGGGATTTTACTGACTTTCTTTATATCTGGTGCACTTCTCAAAGCCTCAGCTCCCACATCCACATAATAATTTCTTTTCATTTTTCCCATTCTATGCAAGTTTCTGAACTCCAGAGCTGTTTCAGGTGAACAGAATGCCTCCTAAAGAAGACAAAACCCCACCTGTTTTCTTAAAAGCACAGCTAGAGTCATTATTTTGGAGAGTCTGTTACATTTCTTTCCCTGCCCTTAAAGTAAGTCTGAACTGTGTTGCTTATAAAAAGATGAACTTGCTTACAAAAGACTGGCAGTGGTCTGTTTAGATTGGTGTAAGTTTTTTCACTAACTGAGAATGTCCCATGTTAAAGGTAGACTGTTTATACTGCTAATTCAAAGACAGCTTTAGGACAGCTAGATTCCTCACTAGAGGCTACCCAGAAAGTAAGATATTTTAAAGACATGACTGAATTACGTGACTGGAAACAGCGGCGTTCAATTCTACGCTTTCATCTAGTGCTAGCTCAAGTGAAACACCCACAACAGAGAAGTGTTTTTGCAGTTCACATGTTGCCCAAGTGCTGCTCTGTGACTAGACTGATTTATCAGTACTGAGCTTTCCTCTGTGCACCTGAGTGGAGCTGGTGGCAAGAAGCTGAGGCAGTCTGTACTTTGTGACATGTCTCTAATGGCAGAGAGAGATTTAGAGCGAAGGCTGAGGGTAAGAAAAGGGGAGGATGTACCTGCTGCCATATAGAACCAGCCTGCTCCTGGCTGACTCAACGCTTAAAATATGACTGCCTTTTGGATTTCTGAACGTGGGGACTGCTTACCATTAACATACACAGGGATGAGAAAAATGCAACGTACTTATCAAATAAAACTTTCACTTTCAAGTTGTAGTTCAATTCCTGCAATTTCACCAGCAATCTGGAAAGAGAAATTTTTTCAAATGACTGCAATTGCAAAAGACAGGTTCTCTTCTATTGCATTGCTTATCACAGATGTATTTAAGCTGCACAACTCAGGGCCACATACAGGCTCCAAGCTTGCTCCATACAAGATAGCATTTAGAGAGGAAACTAGATGGGCAAATTAGTTACTCTTTTGCATGACAAGGTGGTCTGCATGTGTCTTCTGCTGTTTGATTGTGTTTCTTATACACTCAATAGCCCACACTTCTGGTAAAGGGTAAAAGCTGAAAGCAAGTTAAACTTTGCTAGAAGATATCCCCCTGCAACATGGCACTTGTGTGCCTGCAGTCTCAGATGTGCAATCCTCCCAGCTGTAGGAAGCCAATGACATGAAAGGCTTAACGCAAAACAAGAACGGGGAAAGGGAAAACATACCTCAGCTTTACAGTAAACTGTACTCCTGTCTTCAGAACTAATGGCCTCTGAGGATGTGTTGGCATGCAAGGCTGCCTCTCTACCACAAAGGAGCTATGGAAAAAACAGATTAAAGGCACTTTGATTTCTCAGTGTTGTCTTTAAGGAATAAGAAATTACATAAGAAGTGAACTTTAAAAGAATGGTGATTTACCAGTAGTACTATACACTTCATTCATTCAGTTTCAATCTACAGGGAGGTTTGTGTGTCTGCTTCTTTCGCTTTTATCAATGGGGCTGGAAATACTGCAACTAGGAAGTGATTTCATAAGGTTTGGCTTTTCCTAAATACATCGATGGCTTGAGAAGGGGAGAGTGCTACCTCAAGTTTCCCTGAAATCAAAGAGCATGTAAACACTGTGATGTAACTTGCATAATCCAAGCGAGGAGTGTTGCTTCGTTTGCTATTTCCAGTGCTTGCTAAATCCTTACGGTTATACTGCTGTGAGACAGTGCCATGTAAAACACGTGCCCAGGCACTAGATAAGCTAGCTGGGTATTTGATAAGGGCTAGCGAACCCCCCAAAGCAAACTCCTGAGGCTAACCTGTTCTGACGCATCCCAAACTGTTGCTGTCTCAGGCACCTTATGTGTAGCACTGTGCTGTGTAGACATAAATTCTGAAGTATTTCTACTGTTGCCAAGTCCTAGGGCAGCATGGAGACTTTTCCTTCCACTATACTCACAGGCGAGGTAAATAAACAGCAGCTGGACTTGTACAGCTCTTCCTTGTTGTCTTTGCTTCATTGAAAAGCAGTACCTGTGTTTTTCCAATTGAAGATTAGCGGTCAAAGCATCTGAATGGGACTCTGGAAACCTGGGTTCTAGCCCCCGATAACAGGGTTTTACCTACTGTATCTAAGCCTCTCCTTATCTGCTAGATTCAAGTCTTCTGCAGCATTAATTTTTGTCTACTGTATTAGAATGGGACTACTTATGGAATGGGACTAATCTTATGTGGGGCAACTACCAGCTACAGTAACTCGTGTCGTAGAGATGGTACAGCGATATGGCTGGCCTCCCTAGGCTGGAGACAAAGAGGATGCATCAAGATACAAAGGACTGGACAATCTAGTGTATATTTATTTTGGGCGTAGCTTGGTGCTACTAGGACTAGGAGTTTGATTCTGTAATCAATGCATACCACAGCAGAGCTACAATGTAGCTGTAAATGATGACTGATCACAAACCCTTTCCATGGGCCTAAACCTGTGGAAACCCTAGGTAGGGTAAATCTCAAAACTGGTCATTTAGTTTAATGTCTGTGACAAACTTAAGCAAACCTCAGAAAATGCAAAGTTAGTGTGCAGGAAATATTGGGGGAAGAGAAGGGAAGGTGCTCTCCATCCATTTATTCATGCAAACATAAAGACCCTTCTTGTCTGTTACCTCTGGATGAGTTGTTTGAAAAGACTGTATGTTCGGTCCTGCAGAACTTGTTTATTTTTTGTGATGGGATCAGGGTCATAGGTAAACTTCTGTTCCAGTTCCTCAAGCTTTTTGAGCTGCTGACGAACTTGCTGAAGACTTTCAGCAACAACGGTGAACCTACAATTACACAATCTTATTACTTTTAGTATGGTTTTGTATTGTAATAATGCTGAGACACCTGCCAGGTGACTGTCCCTAAGGAGTGCACAGAGAACACTTCTTGCTCATTGGAAATGTGGTGAGGTAATAAAAACAATGAAATGTAGTTATGCTGTGACAGAATGAAAATATGTAACATAAACAATGAGTATATTTCACAGATCTGGTGTTCCTTCATGACACATTTCAAGTTCTGGTTCAATGCAGTCCTTGACTAGAGACATACCAGTTCTGAAGCTGGTCAAGGCAGGCGTTGGGTGGGCCACCAATGCATGCAGTCTGTTGCCTGTGTTTCCACTCCACCAGCTCCTCATTAATAAGAGCACTCTGTGTGTGCTCTGTGGTGTTCAGCAGCTGTACTATCTTGTTCACCACTTCCTATAGAGAATATTAAATTCCCTTGTTTATTAAAAATACTTCATACAGGAAAACTCTAAGTACTGTGTTAGCTAATGCCATCTGTCTTGCAAAACTCTGCAAGGACCTCAAAGTAAAAGTTAAATGTTAAAAACGCCTGCTTCTTTTTAGCTGGAGTACTTGCTAGATTAAGTGGAGAAACAAAGCGTATTCAGTATTGCTGAATTCTGAAGACCCAGTTTCTCACATCCATTTACGTCCCCAGTGCATACCTGGGATCACCCAGTGCCTGCTGCAGATTTGAGCACTGCAACGAAAGTGAGCACATTTAACTCTAATACCACTGCAAACTTTTTAATCAGTTTTTTCATCAAGAACATGACTATTGATCTGACACCTTTTCCCTCTCATTGTTCTTTTAGCTTTACCTGGTGGGGTTTGATAAAGCTTGCTAGAAGAGAAATAAAATATGCTTATGGAGATTCAAAATTTTCAGTCAGGATTGAAAGAATGAAATCTTAGTTCAGCTGATAGTAGCAGAAAAGGTGGGGTTTTTTATATAATTTGTTATGTCAATCCAATGAAAATGAACATGCGTTCAAAATGAAGTGCTGTTGCCTTCTGAAAGAAAACTTGAGTGCTACCTTTCTCTTAAGGTCAAGCGATAAAAACATCTTCTTGAGATTCATCTGTTCTTTCTTATATTCCTCCTGCGACACACTATTGGACTCATGCTCTGTAAAATAAGGCCAAATTGTGAAGGTGAGGCTGAAGAAGTGCTGAAGCATGGGTGGGGGAAACACTGGGGAAGAGGGGACCTGCCTGGCTAATGTCAAGTGAAGTGTATCTCTAAAGCTTAAGGGAGGAAATATTTACTGCCTCCTAGATTATTATTTTTTTTTTTTATTTCTCCTTTCCCCCTTCTGGAAAGGACAGAATCTACACTTAAAGCACTAATGTGAGGAAAAGCCACTATCCCAGTGAAATAATCGAGATATGAGTTTACTTGCTTTTTAGAGCAAGAACCTGATTTAAAATAATGATAATATTGTGTAAAGATATACACTGAGCAATTTGTTCTCATGCTGACTTCAAACATGAATCATTCGTATTACTTAACCCTGGGAACAGGAGTCAATTGTTACTTGAAGGGAGGATGTTTATAGCCTCCTGAGGGTAGCTGGGCTGATAGATCCTACATAGTCACCCTAGCTACTACCTCTGCTGCCTACTGACCTGAAGTCAGAGGTTTCTATCTGCTTCACAGAAGCACAACCTGCTCCCAAGTACAATGAGCAAGATTGTGGCTCAGTGCTCCCCTCAATATCTTCTGAATGTGCCCCTCTTCAGAGGGACAGTCAACTACCAAATTGTGTTGGAAACTGAAGCCTTTTCTAGAACAAAGTAGTCAAAAAGAGAGGCAGATCTATGTAATGAAACCAATGTGGACTACAGCTGCATGTGCTTCCCTCAATACACGAGGGCCTACAAAACTTTCACAAATGCCTTCCTGCTTAAATACAAGATGGGAAAGAGAAGCCTAAACTTAATTATTTAGGTGTATAGTTGAACGGTCACAGAGTCTATAGGGTTTGCTATTTCTAGGAGCAAAGGGATCTAAAGGACAAAGGAACACTGTTAACAGAGCATCACTCTTACTTGTAAGAACAGATGGATGCAGAGAATGCATTTTCAGGAATTTAGGTTTCAGACTAAAGCAGAACTAATGAAGGAGGGACATTATCAAAGCAGAATTAATAAAGGAGGGACATTAACAGTATGTTTGCCTGCATATCATTAGCTTTAGTTTCCTGACATAAGACAGCAGTTTACTCTTACAAACTATACGCAATAGGGTACGTCCTTGATAAATTACCTCTATTCTGCAAGGTTTTACATTTAAAGTCGTATTCATCTTGCATATCCTCTAATGTCTTGATGTCTTGCTCCACGTCCTATAAAGCACAAATGAAGGCAGCTGCAGTTATTGAATACTTTCATGTAATGCAAGACTACTTCTGATTAGCAACTGCCTGGTACCAGCCTGTTACAGAGATGAAGTTCAGCTCTGTAGCAATGCCTTTTCCTGGAACTCCCCAACAGGAAACACCCCTAAACTGAATCATCTTCTATTCACCCTCCCTCCCTCTTATTAGCTAACTAAAATCCATTAATTATAAAATATGGAGAAAGCCCTCATTGTCTAGCCATGTAAGTTCACAGAGTTTAGGAGAACCTAGGCTACAGTGGAAAAACCTGAAAGAGCACACAGCATTTTAAATGAACTTTCACATTTTTAGGTATTGCTTGGAGAAAAGCTTTCTGTCGTGACAGTATTTAAGGTAGTAAACATCTATATGCCAAATTAAAATCTACCTTTTAGTTAACAACTAATTGGTCAGTATATGATTTCTTAAGAATTTTTCCTTGGTTGCTAAGTATTTCAGATGGGTAAAATGTTTTTGTTGCTAAAATTTAGGCACAAGAAATCTGATCTTGCTAAACCAGTCAATTTCCAGTCTGTATTATGGCGCTACTGACAAATAATTACTTCCTGTTTTCAGACAATCAGTGGTTATAGACTTGAAAACCAAACCGTTACCTTATTTTTATTTGTCATTTTAGAAAGTCTTGTGTACTGAAAGCTTTTCAACATCTGTGAATCAACAAACGCTACTTTAAATAGTTATGCTATACTTACTATAACACTGTTTTTTACGGCCTTAACTTTCGCATCAAGCTCCTTCTGTTTGTCCAGCATTCCAATCATAGTGTTCTGTATGCTCCCCACTTCCATCTGAGGGAAGCAAGCAGAACAACAGAAGTCAAACTAGAGTGACCCATAAGAGCAAATATCTCTTTCATTAACGTAAGTTAGTGGCTTTTGTTGACAAACAGCCTGATAAAGCATGGCTTGCTCTGATAAATCATACTAAGGTTTTATAATATAAAATCAAGTTCAGGTGAATCTGCAAGAAACAGGGGAGGTTAAAAATGCCTGGTGTGTGTGTGGTGATGCTGCTTTTTTTTTATCATAGCGATATAAAGTTATGAACATATTCTGTTTTCTCTCTGCACAAATCCATTCTTTCACTTGCTTATCTTCATGTATTCTCTAAATGTATTTCAAGAAAACAACAACCCTAAAGACTGCATGACATCTACACCAAGTATCAGATTCATCTGTACAGGATATGGGGAGAATGAGGCTAAAAGCAAGAACAAGACAGGTCTGTGTACAGGCAAATGAGGTAACTTGGTATGCAATGTCTTTCCTACAGGGCATTCAAGCACATCTTAGACCTCTGTATAGCTTCTTTGAAAGCTGACCTCAATATCATTCAGGAGGTTTAGTTGTATGACATCATTCAGGGAGAGTTGCAGTAATTTGAAAGACAGGCTTTTCATTCCACACAGTAACAATACTATTGGTGTTAGAAACTTGCTGTTCCTCCAATGTGGTATGCATTGTTGCTCAGATTAACACTTCAACTTAAGCTAAGGTCATCTAAAGCATTTTGGTAAACTGCCAAAGATGCCCCATCATAGACTTAAGTCAGACTATTACGTCAGTCTTAGCGTATTCTCTTTATGATGCTTATAATTGTGCTTACTCTGCATTTTACCTTCTAAGCTTTGGGAAATTAGAGTGTTTACCAGAAAGCAGAGGTAGGGCATGGTGCTTTACCTGTTGCCAACAGTAAGTACAGGAAGACTTTTCCCTTTTTCATGACCCAAATATATTGAATGCTGGAAAGGCAGTTGTGAGTGCTTTATATCATGTGCCAGAACAGAAACTGAACAGTTGCACTGCAGCTACATGGGCTCTGCCAGAGTCACATTTCTAGAAGAGCTGTTTTGGACACAGTTGCATTAGGCCACTTGTTGAAAGACTATGCCTGAGTGTTCTTCCCACTCTACCAGCATACACTCAAAAACTTGCCCTAAAGGGAAGTATTTAAGTATCAGAACTTAACATGCCTGGTCAGTCATCACTTTATTACTACACAAGTAGATTACATCTAGCTATATAGTTTGCATGCCTTTCCCAACTGCAGAATTTTTTTTATTGCAAAACAGTTCTCCTTGCAAAAGAAAAAACAAAAAGATGAAAAGTCAGAGAACAGATGAGGAAGGAGAAGAATCTAGCTTTACCTATGGTCCAAAGAAAAGAAATGGGCTTCATTAAAGAAACAAAAATAGAGATAACTAGGAGGGAGAATGATGCATCGTTTTCCCAGAGACACAGTCCAGAGAAGCACCGATGTTCAGCTGCTTAATACAGAGTAAATTCAGAAGTAAAATGCAGAAGAAAAAAGCTAAAATCTTGCTGGAGAAATAAGGCAAGCACTAATTATTAAATTGTAACAAAAATCTGATGAGCACATCAGGCAGTATTACAGAAGCATTAAAAAAAAGTGTAGCTTTTACATCACTCAAGGAATAAAAATTATTTCCTGGCCATTCCCCCTCCAAATGCTTCATGCAGCACAAGCAAACCACATCGTCCAGCTGGTACATATCAGTGTTCGCTCTTCTGTCTTTAAGAAACATCTTGTTGGACAGAGAGGACAGCCCGTTTCCTCTTTCAGTCTTCTTCCACTCACTCTGTCCCAAATAACAGTAAAGGGTAAATACAACTGCAGGAGATTCCAAGACTGTTACCTGATTTGACAACTGGGCACTGTTCAGTATTTTCCTCTCTTCTTTCAGACAGTTGTAGATGATCATTGCCATGTGTATTGGGTCTTCTTGGAAGTTATCCTGGCATTAGAGACAGTCTATTGTTAAAGTTCATACCCATAATTTCTTGTCCTTCAGTAAACCAATTGGCAAAAAGGCTAGTGGGCGACTGTGTGTGAGCGTCAGGGCACACATTGGTCATAGCGTGCTCCAAGACTACAGGGAGCGGTGACAGCTGTAACCATCTCCAAGAACGAGTTTCTGGTTTAGTTCATTTCTGTATGAAGAGATGGGATTCAGCGCAGAACAACATGAAAAGGTCAGAGACATTACCGGGGGAAGCGAGATACTACCCTACAGTCCTAGAGAGAGCTCATCTTGTCTCAAAAGTCACCTTCCCACACCTTTGAAGTATAGCTGTTGGTCTTGAAGGGTGGTTGTTGTAGTTTGACAGGTACAGCTCTTACTCAGTGATGTAAAGGAGATATGTTAGCTGCCACTTATGAACACACAGTCAAGGCTGGATACAAATGCAACGTTATTGTTTCACATGCATACAAAGTTGAAACGTGCTCTGGATGGAGCACTGCCCTGCTCCACCCAGGATGGTGCTGCCCTGGGAGTCACTGAGCTGTACCAGCCTTCTTGACTGATCTTTCATTGCTGATCTATAGTTACTATCGGGTAAGTACAGCCTGGTCATGTTCTCCTGTCTTCGGAAAACACTCCCCTAGTCGCTGACTTGAAGCTAGGTGTGTGGACAATAGGCTGTGAAGAAGGTGACTCTATGGAAGATCCTCTGGCATAGAGCCCTACAGGGAGGAGGGGAGGACTGACTGACAAAAGTCATTAAGTCCATTAAGCATATGTTCTGCGCTGCCACTCACTATCAACTGCTTTGGCCCTTTTCTTTGTCGGTACAATACAATGCACAGAAGTGCGGTCTAATGAGAAGTCCTTTGCTGTTAACTGTAGTTGTGCAGTTACATGGGAAGGATTTCTTCCCCTGTATTTCTTCTGCTTATTAGGACACTGAGAAAACCAGCTGGGGAAGGGGTAGGGTAAGTGAAACTACATTCGAGAAAGCACTCCAAATACATAGAGCAAACACCTTACAAAGGGCAACTTTCTTTTTTCTAGAGTTCTCAGAAACTCTAACTGTGCTGGTAATGAAACTTTAACTTTCTACCTGTTGCCATTTAAAACAAAAAAATGGAGCCACACTTGAATTCTGACCTTTAAATTGGGATTCTCCCACATTCTCTGTGGAAAAATCTCTCATAGCAGGGTAGTCTGCTTAGAGGCATCCAGTTGCACTACTGAAGCAATTCAAGCAAATGTATAGGCATATACCCCAGGCATACCTGAAGGTTACGTTTGCTTTTCCTTATGTTGTGTTGCAGCAAGAAGTTGTTTTCTATCAAGAATCTACTAAACTGATCATCGAGCTGTGACAGCAGGTCATGGAATAACACTGTAGCAAAAGATACGTTGTTGGCTGCATGTTCCCTAGAATAATTTAAGGCATGCTTGTGTTAAATACACTTTCAATACAGCATTCAAGAAATTCATAAAGTAGTACTTTATTTTTAATCCCCAACGCCAGCTGCAGTATATGCAACCAGTAAGAATTACCTTCAAACATAAGCCAGTTTCATTCTCTCAACTTTGACTTTACTTTCCTTGATACAGAAATGTTTTTCTCTGTATTATTCTTGCCACGTTCTGTTCAACTTCATTTACTCATTCCATGCACATTAAGAAGCTAAAAGTGAACCTGATGCATGTGCATGTTGTATTACTCTCCTAAAAAGATGCTCCACATAAATCTTGGCAAAAGTTCAGACTGAGCTGCCAAGGTAGTAAATGATCAGCCTCAAAACAGCTGCTTTTGTTATAGACCAACCAAGGGAAATATGAGATGGTATACTTGTTATTCTAGGTGTTAGGCTCCTCTAGAAAGCCCTGAAGGGCAGGAACACAGGCTACAGCACTCACACCACTACTAAAGCGTCCTACCAGCAAAGGTTCACCTAGCAGCTTGCTTCCCTCCTTCTGCTGCCTGTAACTGCATGTATGAGAACATTCGCTTATCGTGCAACCTGAAAGCCTATTTCTATGCTTACCAATCCTGGTTTTCCAGCCACTGTGCCAGGTACTGCCTGATTTCCATAGGAAAGCTGTCATCATATAGCTGGTGAACTTGTTCCAAAAACTTGGAATCAAGTTGCTGTAGCTGATACCACTGAGTCATCCTAAGGAGGAAAGGGGGGAAAAAAAAAAAAATCAGTGTAAATGTTTAAGCAGTATTTGGACTGAACTGGTGAAAAGCAACTCATTTAAAGTTTTCATGAACAACAGCAAAATTGGAGGAGTAGGAAGGAAAAGTGTTTCTGGTGAACAAAACCACTTTATTTTCAGCTGTAACACTTTTAGAAAGCTAATCATTAAAGATTTTGAAAAGAAAAATTTTAAAAATTGCAAATTAAGACAGTGCACTACTTCATGAAAAATAATTCAAGGCTAAATCACCCTTCCCTATGAAAACTTGCATATTTTTTTTCCTTTTAATTCCTTTTCACAGCATTTAGGGTACTAGTAGTGTTACTGCTTCCTTGCTTAGTAGGAATACAGGAATGAGGACCTGTATGTTTGATACCTGTACTCTGTGGGATCGAGATCCTGCATATGGAGTTTCACCTTTTGTTGGTGCAGTTATACTCACCATCACCGAGAGGTGGAAAATCAAAGAAACCTCTAGGGGCCCACTTCAGGTGCTCTGAAAGTAGACTAGATCTCAAGTCGCTTTAAGCGGAGAAGTATCGGAGAGCTGTGTTTTCTGCTATGTGCTTTGGTTCCCATGATCAAATTTTTGGCCTAAATTAAATAATGTCTGCAGAGACACAGGTTACTTAAAATGAACTGATATGACTGTGAGAAGCCGTGCGGTACAATAACATTTCTATGACAGAGTGGTTGTATGTTCTGCCGGATGGTGTCTGGCTGCAGACCTGTTATTGTCTTGTCAGTGGGCTGCAGGTTAGAGTCTTCTAGTGGAAATGGCATGTAAAGATATGTCTAAGGAACAGTCCAGGCTGAGAACACAGATGGTAAGATTTAAGTCCACTCACATCTGCAGCTTTTAAGAAAGGGTGATAGGATGTATCCAAGGAACAGGACAGCACTGGGGTGAAGGACTATCTTATACTTGGCACACATTAGTGTTTGTATGCCAGTTCCCTCAGCTACTGAGTGGCATATCCTATGCGCGAGAAGTGAGCGTGAGTTAAACATGCTATTATGTTTAAAGTGAGGGCCTTTGAGGACTTTGATGTGCATGGGATTCAGGTTGCAGGTAACACAGCATTTCAGTGTGCTGCAGTGGCACCAGGGTAAACAGTTAAATGTGACATTAGTGAGGAAAGCTGGAATAATTTGTCTAAATGCAAGAAGTTAGTCTGGGTTTTTTTCTTCACCTAGTGCTTAAATGAAGATGTACTCCAATCTTCCCATGTCTTACAGCAACCAGAATGAGAAAGGACTTAAGAGCGGTGGCAGAGACCCATCCAAATAGCTACGAAAATGCAGAAAATGCGATCCTTGGGGATAGCAAAACAGGGGAACACTGAAAAAGTGGGAAGTCAGCACCTTTTTGAGGAGAAGTCATTAGTAAGACTGATACAGGGTTCATGTCTGCTATTGACAAGCTGAGGTGGTGCAGGATGGAAAGCCCAATTTGCTGTTCTGCCGTCCCCTGGGTACGGGCAACAGGACCGCAGCCCACAGGCACCTCTGGCGAAAAGGGGCATTATCTACGGCTCTGTGCGCCTCGGTAACACCCGCGCCCGAGGCTGCCTTCCACGGCCAAGCTCCGACATTTAACCCCGCCGCCTCCTAACAACTCCTTTCGTCCTGTCATTCCCGGCTTCCCGGGTGGTGGCCACCCAACGGCAGCCCGGGAGCAAAGGGCGGGGGACTCCCGTCCCGTCCCGCCACCGCGGCTCGGACAGCGCTCCCCCGTGTTTCCCCTCCCCACCCCGCCAGGCCGGGCGGCAGCCCTCCCAGCCCTGGCCCGTTCTCTCGCCGCGGC